AAAGTGATTGGACAACAGTGGCTTATTCAGAAGTCAGCTGAGCGACAGTGTTCTCGGACACTTCTGGAGAAGAAGCAGCACTTTGAGCTGACCCAATACCCAAGAGTGCTCCTACAATAGGACCACTGCCCTCACTAAATCGAAGGGCCGACTGAATGCTGCGAGTTTTGAACTGTTTTATCCTATATTCGTAACCTGTGCACGATTCATCCGGTTCAGTACTCATTTCAGTATACTCATCCAGCTCGTCAGCTAGTTGTACATCAAATATCTGCAGTCTTAAACTTACTCGAACGTTACCATGCTGGTCACTGTCAAAGCGCCGAATGATAGCCCGGATGCAGGACCTCGACACACATAATGCTGTTTTCTTACCAATACTTCAGGCGATACGCAAACGCTTGCAAATCACCCTTGGCAAGGATGTCCAAGACAAAGTCTTTTTCGCCAACGTACCGGGCTAGGACAATGTATACAGTGGTGTTCAATGCATGAACTATGCGGCATCTTATGAAAGCATCTACCACCAGTAAAACATTCTCATACCTACGCACTTCAGCCGAGAGATCTGTAAGAGAATCCCATGGAGTGAAGGGGTTGACTCTGAATGGAATGTCAGGCTCTGTAGCAAAGAACAGTTTCGATAAGATACTAGTACTGTTTGGTTCGCAAACGCATTGTTGTGTTATTTGCGGAAATGCCGTGGCAGCAGAAAGTTACTGCCCAACTGCATACTAGGCTCAAGGACAACCTGAGATGACCAGACGAGAGAACCCGTTACCGGCAATCAGTCATCAATCCGGCCGATTTGGTGTTTGCATGCGAAGGCAATCGTTTGATGGCAGCAAATAACAAATTTAACACGATCTTTTGGCTTCCACGAATTCCAGGTACTCGCAACGATCGCATTCGTTAACGGATGTGGCCCCGTTCAGCATTTTCATACTGCTGATTTCTCAACTTTGTTTACGAAACTGCCTCATCATGTTATTTACGAAGCGTTCGGTTATCTACTTGTGCTTTCACAGTGCCTACGCCGACGCTCTGCATATCATCACTAAGAATATTTATTACGTTAACCACGCAAGATCATTTGATTATGGTGTACTCTTTTCTTCTATGGAAATCGGCAGTATCCTTCTCACTGTAATTGGCGAAGTCTATGTGCGATTTGGCGGTTACATTTCCCGACAAGTTAAAGGC